AATGAAGTTTGAAACAAGTGTGGCCCTGTTTTACTCCCTCCAGTCCTGGGAAAGCAAGCTGATATTTTTCAAGGTTATTACTGAGCTGAGTATAGAGATGGGACTAGTGGAAGTTAAATGCCACAAAGCTTATTGTTCTTAGCAAGATTCAGCCATTTCTCTTGAATAAATGTTCATTGGGCTGCTATAAACCTTTGGTTAATCTCCAGAGTTTTGGATACATTTTCTGAAGTTTTGCCAATTGTTTTTGTTGCTTCTATCAAGGGGTGAATTCTTAGGTCTTTACTACACCATTTTCTCTGCTGTAACCCCACTTTCTTTAAAAGATCCCAGCTAGTTTTCTCCCCATGGCTTTTTGCAACTATACAGTGATTATTAATGTGTAAATATTTGAATGTCTATAATGAGTACTGGTATGAGGTATAAAATGACTTACCAAAAAAAGACATCTCAGAAATTACTGTCTAATATACATAGGATCTTGTTCTACTTAAGAATGTTACTAGGCACAATACGTAAATTTCTAACCCATCTCTTTCTGGGGGGCTGTTACCTTTGCCTTGTTTATATTTTACAGATTTCATTAATTCAAATGTTTATTCATTCTCAGTTGAGGAAAAATCTATTTGGTCCAAATATTTGCAACCAGTGGTATATGACTTGCCCTTGGCCCCAAACACTAACTGGATCCTTCTCATTATCTACAGATGCATGATATATTAATTGACAACAGCTATTAGAACAATTCCTAGGCTTTCATCTAGAGTAGCTCTACTAGTTTAAGAGAGGATTTTCAACTCCCCCACTCAGAGAACATGAAAACTACAATCTAAAGTGTGAAAAAAATATATACAAATATAAATAAATAAATAAATATATATCTGGATCTCTGTCTTATCGATATATTCATCAATACATTGATGTACTCTATTTACAGGGACAATATTTCTCAGGATGCAATGTACAATCCCTGAATTATTTTCACCTCCCATCACTGTCCAATTCTTCTCAAAATTAATGTCTTCAGCCAGATGAAAGACTTAGGGACACAGACATATAGCAGGACACTGGAGGCCTCAAAAAGTATTGAGATATCTGATCAGGTATTTTACTGGTACACACATTCTTTCTGTCTTCTGAACCAGGGATTGAAAGTTAAAAAGTGATCACTTTTTCATACTGGGGGCTGAGAGTGAAAGAGTGATTAAAGTTTTCTTACTCAATTGTTTTCTATCTGGTAGCCATTAAATGTTTGTGTATATGTTTTTTCCATTACGTGTGTGTGTGTGTGTTTTAAGATTTTATTTGTTTGTTCGTGAGAGACACAGAGAGAGAGCCAGAAACACAGGCAGAGGGAGAAGCAGGCTCCATGCAGGGAGCCTGACGTGGGACTCGATCCTGGGTCTCCAGGATCACGCCCTGGGCTGAAGGCAGCGCTAAACCACTGACTACGCACCCAGGCATCTCTATATCACCTCTTCTTTACCTGTTCATCAATTGATGGACACTTCGGCTGTTTCCCTAATTTGGCTATTGTAGATACTGCTGCTATAAATACCTGGGTGCATGAAACCCTTTAAGTTAGTATTTTTGTATTCTTTGGGTAAATACTGAGTAGTGTGAATGCTGGATCACAGGGCAGTTGTATTTTTTACCAGTATACTTGTTTCCTTTATTTAAACTCTCATTTATTTCCCAAAAGCTGTCTCTGCTATATGGAACCTCAGAATCTAACAGGTGTCTTGGAATTCTTCCTCCTGGGGTTCTCAAATGATCTGTGATCTTCAGTATTTTTAACTTTTTGATGAAGCTCCATTCAGCTTACCAAAATGGCTGCACCAGTTTGCATTCCCACCAAAGTGCTCCCCTTTCTCTACATCTTCACCAACATCTGTTGTTTTCTGAGTTGCTAATTTTAGCCATTCTGACAGGTGTGAGGTGGTATCTCATTGTGGTTTTGATTTGTATTTCCCTGATGCCGAGTAATGTGGAGCATTTTTTTCATAGGTCTGTTGGCCATTTGTATGCCTCCTTGGGAAAAAAATGCCTGTTCATGTCATCTCAAGCTATGCTCGATTTTATGTTTCCCAAATGTGTGTTTTTCCTTCAATCCAGGGTCAGAAAACCCACAGTTCCTTGGCTTTAATTCCACCTATACCATATCCTATCTCTTTGCCATTTCATTCCTTCAAGGAGCTTTCACTGGTACCCTCTGTTCCAGATTAAGTATCTCTCCTATATGCCCCCATACCCTTTTTTACTTCCCTCGTCACAGCATGTACTGTAATTGCCTGTTTATCTGTCTTTTACTCCATTAGACCATAAGCTTCCAGAAAGCACACATATCTCTAATTCAAAGTTGTAACCCAAGGACCAACCACCAAGCTAAACACAGAGTAGGTTTTTCTTGTGTTGTTGATTTTAGCTATTCTGACAAAGTGTGAAATCTCATTATAGTTTTGATTTGTATTTCCCTGATGATCAGTGATGTTGAGCTTCTTTTCATATGTCTGTTGGCCACCTGCATTTACTTCTTTGAAAAAATGTCTATTCATGTCTTTTGCCCAATTTAATTGGGACTATTCATTTTTGGAGTGTTGAGTTTGATGAGTTCTTTATATATTTCTGATACTAACCCTTTATCAGATATGTCATTTGCAAATATCTTCTTCTGTTCCATAGCTCGCCTTTTAGTTTTGGTGATTTGATTCCTTCCCTGTGCAGAAGTTTTTTATTTTGATATAGTCCTAATAACTTATTTTTTATTTTGCTTCCCTTGCTTCAGAACACATATACAGAAAGAAGGTGGTATGGTTGATGTGAAAAAAATTACTGACTATGTTCCTTTTTAGGATTTCTAGGTTTTTATGTCTCACATTTAGGTCTTTAACCTATTTTGAATTTATTTTTGTACATGGTTTAAGAAAGTGTTCAGTTTCATTCTTTTGCATGTTGTTGCCCAGTGTACCCAACATCATTTATTGAAAAGATTGTCTTTCTCTCATTGGATATTCTTTCCTGCTTTGTCAAAGATTAAGTGACCACGTAATTAAGGGTTCATTTCTGGGTTTTCTATTCTGTTCCATTGATTTCTGTGGCTATTTTTGTGCCAATACCATACTGTTTTGATTATTATAGCTTTGTAATATAACTTGAAGTCTGGAATTGTGATGTGTCTAACTTTTTCTCTTGCAAGGTTGCTTTGGCTATTTTGGTTTTTTTTGTGGTTCCATACAAGTTTTCAGCTTTGGGTAGTATAGACATTTTAATAATATTTATTCTTCCAATCCATGAGCATGGAACAGCTTTCCACTGCTTCGTGTCATCTTCAATTTCTTTCACTGGTGTTTTATATTTTTCAGAGTACAAGTCTTTCAACTCTTTGGTTAGGTTGATTCCAAGGTATCTTGAAAGTTTTGCTTCTTTGCCAATTTGGATGGTTTTTATGTCTTTTAGTTGTTTGACTGCTGTGGCTAGGACTTCCAGTACTATGTTGAATTAAATTGGTGAGAGTGGGACATCCCTATCTTGTTTCTGACCCCAGAGGAAAAGCTTTTCCTCATTTAGGATGATCTTAGCTGTGGGTTTTTTAATGTCCTTTATTATGTTGAGGTATATCCCCTCTAAACCCACTTTGTTTTTAATATGAATGGATGTTGTACATTATCAAATGTTTTCTCTACATCTATTGAAAATGATCACATCGTTCTGTTGTTTACTTAATGTGCTGCATCTCACTGATTCATTTGTAAATACTGAACCACTTTTGCAACCCAGTAATAAATCCCCATTAATTTGTTTTTAAAATCATAGCCTTGCACATAGTGGATATTTATTTTAGTTCCTGGTTATAGACTTAATAATTAATTCTAGAATTGAGCATTTTTATGTTTTGTTTTTTTTTTTTCCAGTAGCATCCTAGTGGGGAATTAGAAGCAGTTATACCAGGCACTCTTAGTTATTACCATTAGATACTTGTCTGGTCCTCTTAAAGTTAAAAAAAAAATCTGCCTAAAACTAGGTAAAATTTGTTGTTTGTGTGCAATTTCTACACATATAAAGATGTCTATTGACAAATAATGAAAAATAAAATCATATCTAAACTGAACCAAGTAGTCTCTTGTGGACCACTCAAAATGTTATCCCAACAATCAAAACCTGACACCATACCAACTCAGTATTCTTATCTTAAAATCCCCACAGGAAATATTTATTGAGTTCCTGTATGGGGTGCTATATCATTTTCTAAATCTGCACTTCTCCTGTGGTGATTTCATAGGGTGCTGTGGGATATTTAAAAATTCTAAGGAAACAACAGTGATAATTAGTATCTATTATACAGTATACAAGCTACTAGCTCAAAGTAGTTTAAAGTTTCAATATGAGATAATGCCACATTCAAAGCTTCTGTATCTTTGCAAAGCTAGATTTTTGACAGTTTCTATAGTAAAAGCTGCAAATAACTGTGGTTGTGTAAAATTTCATCTCAGAGTTTGAGAAGTGCTTTAACACCTGCACAGATCTCATTAGTAAGTAACTATGGTTAGTTATGAACAAAGTAAGATATTTTCTTTCAAAACCCAAAACTAAAAGCATTAAGTTGTTAGATCAAAACAATAAGTATTTATATCTTAATAACTTACAGCTGTTTGAAAAAACACATCTTGTGTTTTTATGTATTCTACATAATGAGGAGAAAAAACTCCAAGGGCACTGTGAACAGAAAAAACTTGGAAATCTTTGTCTAAAACGGAGTCCACTAATCTAAACCATTATCCATATAATTTTCTTCATTAAATACTTATTAAATGTTTACATATACATAATACATCTTGCCAAAAAACTCACTTTTCTGAACCAGAGACTGAGGCATGAGTGGATCCATACTTTACTGAAGGATTAAATATCACTGAGCTTTTATTATGTCCTTCTAGAATCAACCAGCCAATTCACAAATAAAATTTCAAAAAATAAAATTCTGAATAATTCATGCAGAGTACCTGAGTGTGAGCTCTCAACGGTAGTGTCTGATTTGGAATCCAAAGATGGAGGAATTTGTCTTAATTGTGGAACATAGTACATCTTTGTACTACCAGGAGGTTTATACGGCAACAGTGAAGGCTGGGCTAAGGAGATAAAAATCAGAACAATTAATAATAAAACATTTATTAATTCACTAAATAAATATTGAGTGCCTTTCATGTGCCAAGCAATGTGTAAGATTCTTGGAATATATCAGGGTACCTGGCTGGTTGAATTAGAAGAACATGTAACTTGATCTTGGTGTTGTAAGTTCGAGCTATTGGAAATGTGGAGATTACTTAAATAAATAAACAAAGTAAATAAATAAATAAACTTTGAAATAAAAAAAAAAAAAAGATTCTTGGGATATATCAGTGAACTAAAATAGATAGAAAAATATCCCTGCCTTTAAGAAGAGCTAGCATTCTAGAGGAAGGAGGTATACAGGAAACAACTAACATATTAAATGAATAAATTAGTATTTTAATAAGTCACAAATTATATGAAAAAGACAATTAGAATATGCTGAGGGGTATTAGTAAAACTATTGGAGAAATCGGGGCAGGATGCCATTTAAACAGATGGTAGGGTAGGCCTGAGGTGAGTTTTTTAGCAATCTATTCCATGCTAATATATATTTCTACACACCAGCAAAAACCACATAGGAAAAAATACCGTTTACAATGTCATGAAACAAATAAAAAATATATCAAATACCTAATGAGTACGTGTAAGGAAAGATTTCTTTCCTGAAAACTGCAAAATGTTGATGAGTAAAATTTAAAAAAATAGTAAAATGTATATATCATACTTAGAAGTTAAAATAATTATGTAGACATGCTAATTATCCTCAATATTAAAAAAATACATAAAAGTAAAAAAGATAAAGTCTTACCACTCGAAGATAACTATTATTAATATTTTAATATATTTCCTATGTGTCCTTTCCCTCTGGCTTATGTGTTTACATAGCTGTCTACATATGCTATGTATAGTACAGAATTCAGTGTTTCTACTTTGCATTTATAACAAAACATTCATTTTATTTCCTGTCTTTACATTTTATATGGCTTTACTATAGATTAAATGTATTTAACCCTTCTCATAATGTTGAAAATTTAAAGCAGAGTTAAATTTTCAACTATAAAGAATTCAGTGAATATTCCTGTTTATAGCATATCCATTTTCCCCTGCTGCCCCACCTCAGGTAAATTCTCTGACTAGAGAGTGAAAAAAATGTATCATTTATAGTTTGTTTTAAAAAATACTAGCTGCTAAAATATTTTCTTAAATGTCTGTTTCAGGGATCCCTGGGTGGCGCAGCGGTTTAGCGCCTGCCTTTGGCCCAGGGCGCGATCCTGGAGACCTGGGATCGAATCCCACGTCGGGCTCCCGGTGCATGGAGTCTGCTTCTCCCTCTGCCTGTGTCTCTGCCTCTCTCTCTCTCTCTCTCACTGTGTGCCTATCATAAATAAATAAAATTTAAAAAAAATAAAAATAAATGTCTGTTTCAAAGTAGTAAGTGTATAAAAGGGGAAATTTTAAACAACAAAAAAAAAATAGGGTGCAGCCTTCAGTTCTTTTTGGTCATATAGCAGTCATTGTTAGAATATTGATTTATTAATTTTCTTCCTCTACCAGTTGTATATTAAGCTTGATAGTATTGGTTAAATTTACCACTTAATTGAAAGGCTGCAAAAAAAAAAATAATAATTGAGAATTACAATGGACCCACAGAGCAAGAATGGCTGACATATAGAAATAGAGAATTCTGAAACAGATAAATGGCTTTTCAAATTCTTTACAACTTTATGTTTAGATGCAATACTAAAGTACTTTGGACTGACTCCTATGGGGGAAGAAGTGACTACACAGCAAATAATACTCCTGGGAAAGGAAAAAAAGAAGACTAGAGAAAGAAAACAACTATAAAATTTATAAACTTTTGAAAAATTTATAAAACTTTGAAAATAGAACCAAATATATACATATAGTATATTAGTCTGAATTTGTTAATTCTGAGTATTGAACAGTCATGTGTTTAACTTACTATTCTTTGTAAGTTAAAATATTTTCATACAAAAAAATCACAAAATTTTACTTTTTAATACACAGTATTAAAAATAATATTTTGGGGTACACCTGGGTGGCTCAGTGGTTGAGCGGCTGCCTTCGGCTCAGGGCGTGATCCTGGAGTCCGGGATCAAGTCCCACATTGGGCTCCCTGCATGGAGCCTGCCTCTCCCTCTGCCTACGTCTCTGCCTCTTTCTTTGTCTCTCATGAATAAATAAATAAAATCTTAAAAAATAATATTATTTTGGGACATCTGGGTGGCATCAGAACAAGGCATATAAAACAGCCAAACTCCAAATGACCAACAAAACCCCTGAGTGAAAAAAGGCAAATGTCTGTTTTCACAAAGCACTGAGATTTTTGAGGTGGTTTTATAGTATCAGTATGGCACTAGGTAACTGACATATAAAGATGTTCTTTGTGATACTTGTGAACTTTAGATTTGGGTTTTTTAATTTCACCATAAAAATGTATAAGAATTATAACCATCTTAACATACAAATGTATTCGTTTAAATTAAATTCATTCAGGGGATGCCTGGGTGGCTCAGCGGTTTAGCGACTGCCTTCCGGCCAGGGTGTGGTCCTGGAGTCCCAGGATCGAGTCCCACATCGGGTTCCCTGCATGGAGTCTACTTCTCCCTCTGCCTGTGTCTCTGCCTCTCTCTCTCTGTGTCTCTCATGAATAAATAAATAAATAAAATCTTAAAAAAAAAAGGATAAATAAATAAACTAATTAAATTCAGTTAAACACTGAACCAAGAAATTTTCTTTATATATGTAGGTATATCCCGTCTTTACCTAAAGACAGATAACCTTTTTTTGCATAAGGAGGAAAACTGAAAATAATATTTGAGTAGACTTGTGCAAACTATTAAATTCTTTAAAATTAGTAATTTAAAGTTCCCACTCTCATTTGAGGAAGGAATGGGAACTTAATTATTAATTTTCCTGTTACTGTTCTGAAAAAGAAAATAACATGCTCTATTTTGAATGTTACATAGTATAAGCACAATTGAAATACAACTGTCACAATAGCATAGGAACACTCTAAATGTAGATCTTAGGGTAGAGACTGCTAGTTATTCATAAAAATCTACTTCTTTATTCTTAAAATCACAGCTAAACCATTTCCTAGCTAAGAGAAAGTGATCTGAACCACTTCTAGGCCTAGCACATGTGCTTCTCTATACTTTTTTTTGTCCCTTCTAGTTGACTGTGATGGTGAATCGGAAGTAATTGTGTAATTGTGGATTCTGTGTTTTAAAGACAGGAGAGCTTCAGTCTGCCTGGGTCCTTGGTCATGGTTTTATAAGCAAGAAACAGACTGGTACCATGTTTGCACAATTACATATTTTTGCATCTATTTCTTACAATATGTAACATTTAATATAATACAAGATGACAATAATTCACCTGCCCACCTAAAACCAGACCTCCATAGTTTTTAAGTTTTCAAGAACTAATTCATTAAGTATTATAAGATAAAAATAGGTCGAACACAAGCATGAGTTCCACATAAATTGTTAACTCCACTAGAAATTAAATCAAAAACATGATCACATTCCTTTCTTAGCTATGTAAATAAAAACATGGATAGAATCATGTGGATCCTAATGTTTAAAATTAAAATTAGGTTTTCTGACTAGAAAGACCTCCTCACAAATTTCTGAGATCATTACATATAAAAGTTGGTAATATGATCTAAAATGTAATCACATTCTCTCACCATCTGTGCCATGAGGATGAGTAATCTGCTGGACTGAAGATGATGAGGCAAACTTAACAGGACCTTTGCCCAGCTTCTGGGTACTGGGCTCTGAAATTGCAAGTCCACGATCTTTGGCATTAATAAAAATCTCAGATGAAAACCTGGTTTTTCCTGGACTTTCTGTTGTTATCTGAGTGACTGCATCAGATGACAATTTTCCAGGGAAGGCAGAAAATGGGGCCTTAATCCCCTCTGATGATCTGAACAAAAAAGAAAAAAGACACAACAGGTCATATCCATGGCTTATCAAATACTGTAATCTCTTTCCAAAGGTAGCTTCAAGGAATATTTTATGGAGATACATCAACCTCAAATGGTTATTTCTGCAGTACCCTTTGCTATCTTAAATACTTATTATACTGCAATCATGCAGGAGTTTATTCATTTTAAAATCTACTTTAAATTTCAATTCAGAATGTTAGTATATAATTTTGCTGAGGAAATGGTACTTTTCAGTTGAAGTAAAAAATATAATCATTTTTAAGAAACTACTAGAAGCCTACTATAAATTAAGGGACTATGCTAAATGCATAGAGTGTACAAAAGTAAATAAGAAATGAAGACTTGCCTCAAAAAGTTGTCAGTGGGAAGAACCAGAGGTTTGTAAGACTATAATCATATATTAAGATTTCAGACGATAGTAAAACAGAATGATTGAATAAATAAAAAATGAGAGGAGACAAATCTTGTTTACAAAAGAATTCCAAAAAATATGTGATAACTCCCCATTCAAGGAGGTGAATATTAATCCCTTTTCCCTTGAGTATGGGCTGGACTTTGTAACTAGATTCCAAAGAACAGAGAAATAAAGAGGGATAAATAGTAACGTTACAGTGGAGAAACATAGCAAACACTGTATTATTCAAGTGATGAAGGTTCACATTACCAATGTTGTCATGTGGATGTCACATAATCTCTGCTATGATATAAAGAGGTGGGGATTTCCTTTTTATGATATTCTTTGCCAAAACCCATAATTCCAGTCAGTCACGAGAAAAACATCAGTCAAACCCAGACTGAGGGACATTCAACAGAATATCTGACCAATATTCCTCAAAACTGTCAAAATCATGAAAAACAAGGAAGGAATGAGGAATTAACTATCACTGATAAGAGGATATTAAAGAGACCTGAGAGCTAACTAAAGGGAATGGTGATATATATTGGGTCTTGGAACACAAAAAAGGCTATTGGTGGAAAAAATGTGAAACATAAATAAAATCTGGAGTGTAATTAATAGTAACATACAAATGTTGGCTTCTTAATTTTGACAAATGTACACTATGATAATGTAGATGTTAACAGGACAAGCAGGGAGATGGGTATAGGGAACTCTATTATTTTTGTATCTTTTCTGTAGATCTAAAATTACTCAAAAATAAGTTACTGAGGTATCTGGATGGCTCAGTTATTTAAGCATGTGACTCAATTTGGGCTCAGGTCATGATCTCAGGGTCATAGGCTTGAACTTTGCTTGAGATTCTCTCTCTCTCCATCTGCCCCTCTCCCTGCTCACACACTCTTACTCTCTCTCAAATAAATAAAATAAAAATAAAATATAATAAAAGGTTATTTTTTAAATAGAGTAACATTATTTTAAAGTAATAGTTATATCGTAAAACAGAAGAAATTTTGAATTTCTACCCTCTGCCTACTATTAACTAAAAAAGACAATTAGGAGAAAAGAAGATAGACCAATCTCCTTTATAAATATGAAAGCAAGAATCCTAAACAAAATCCAAAACAAAATCCTAAACAAAATCCAAAACGAAATGTTGTATGTATGTGAATTCCTACCAAGATGGTTTACTCCTGGAATGCAAGGTGAGTTAACACTCAAAAGTCAATCAATATGATTCACTATACCAATAAAATAAAGGAGAAAACATATATAACTATGTAAGCATAGTCAAATAAAGCATTTGATAAAACTCAGTAATTACATAGATGAAAACTCACAGCAATGGGAAACCACAAAAAACTTTACAATGACCATCCATCTTATTTATACTGAAACACAGAAAATGTTCACTGTGAGATTAGTAACAAAATAAGGATGCCAATTCTTACCATTTCTGTTCAACTTTAGTTAAGGTCTTAAATGGTATTTAGCAGTCAGGAAAAAGAAACAAGAGGTAGAAAGGTAGAAATATTGTCCTGTTCATATTTGATATAATTAAGTACAAAGAAAATCCAAAATAATCTAAACATACCTCATTAGAATATAAATAAGTTTTTAGGAAACTTGCCAGATATGATATAAAAATTTTTAAAAATCCACTACCTTTTTGGCTAAAAATATGCCATTTATAATATGATCACAAACATCAAATACCTAATAGTAAATGTAATAAAAAATGTAAGAACTCTAAGTAGGAAGCTAGTAATCATTAAAATTAAAGGTAATCTCAATAGGACTTCCACTTCCAGGTAGGAGGTAGTACGTCACCATAGGTCATAATCATTCCTGCTGCAACAAGCAAATAAACAAGCAAATAAATTAAATAAATTATAAAAATCAGAGTTAAAAGAAATTACAGAGCTATGGAAGCAATGAAGAAACAGTATCATCTAATATGCTAGAGAGGGGCATTTTGGAGATTATGGTCAGGGCAGACATACACCACTGGGAAAGAGAAATCACCAGAGCTTTTAATGAACTCATGGGCTGACATGATGGAGTGAAATCTAGCAGAATGCCAAACCAATTCTCCCCACAGGACATTTTCTTAGTATCAGGACAGTATGGGAGAATGAAGAACTGAGTCAGAAAAGCAGAGTGAAATCTCCTTCACAATTCATGGCACTGATAACAAATCAAGTCCCATTAGACAGAGGGGACCATAACAAACCTCAGGTCTCCTCCTCAAGACATTTACCAAATTTTGAATCTCAGTAAGGGAGAAAGCAAAAAAAAAAAAAAAAAAAAAAAAAAAAAAAAAAAAAAAAGGCAGGAAGCTAAATAACTACTGCCTGAGGGAGAAAACTTTTAAAACAGAGGACACACTCCAGACTCACAACAAAAAAAAAAAAACCAGTAGTGCCATCCCCAAGAAGCGGGCTGAGCCAGGAAAACTGAAATCACTTGCAATATTTGAGTCCTTATGCAACAAATTTCCATTAAGAAAGTATAAGTATAGTGAATACATAATTGGGCTCCTCTTACATTTGCCAGACTTTTTTTTTCTGATACTATTTTCCCCTTTTTTAAAAAATTTTAAATTATTCTAAAGCTGCAAGGGCTGAGAGCTGAAAGAGCTGAACTCAAATATCTGAAAGACTAAACTGAATATCTCACTGTATTTACTTATTGAAGAATCCAAGATCTGTCAGGCTTAAAGCAAAAATCCAGGGAGGCCACAAATCAGAAAAAATCAGAAGTTTAATTAGTTCACTACAGCTCCACTCTATTGCTGACCTACTAAAATTCCTGACATGACTGAAGTGATCAGCTACTTTATATGATTAACTGAGGAAAGGGCAAATCCTCTGGTTGGAAAATAACAGCATCCTCAGTCCCTATGATTTTTTAAAATTTACAATATCCAGTACATAATCAAAAATTACAAAATTTGTCAAGCAGAAAAAAGAAAAAGTTGAGAGAAAAAAACAGACAAGAAAATTGCTTTACAGAGGATTCAGATATTGGAATTAGTGCAGAAAGGACTAGAAAATGATTGTGGATATATTAAGAGATCAAAATATGGGAGGTAATAGATAAAAACAAAGGGAATCTCAATAAAAATGAGAATCTACTTTTTGCAATCAATGCAGGAAAAAAAAAAGAACAAATCCCAGCAGACCTCAGGAAATACTAATAATTTTTTAGGCTCAAATAAAACAATCTAACATAGTACAGAACTATAGGAAAGAATGAAGGCACCTAAAATCTGTGTCTGTGTGTATATGTATGTGTGTATAATATACATTCAAGGAGTATAATATACATTCATGGAGTGTGTATAATATACACACATACATATACACACAAACACCTTTTTATATATACTTGTATATTCTATATTTCATATGAAATGAAATAAATAGGCAACAATGTCTTGTGGTGATTTATAAAAAGGTAGAAAATAAATACATTCACAAAAGCAGGAGCAGGCAAATGGAGCTAAACTATTCTAAGAGTCTTCATTGTTTGGGACACCTGGGTGGCTCAGTCAGTTGAGTGGCCAACTCTTGATTTCAGCTCAGGTCATGATCTTAGGGTTGTGAGATCAAGCCCTGAATTGGGGTCCATGCTGAGCAAAGGAGCCTGCTTAAGATTCTCTCTCTCCCTCTCCCTCTATCTTCTCCACCTGGGTTCAGGCACATTCTCTCTCCCTAAATAAAAAATAATAAATAAATAAGTCTTCATTGCTCATAAAGTACAAAGAATATTAATTTAAAATGAATTGTAAGTCAAGGAAGTATAACCTCTGGGATAATCATTAAAAGAATAATACAAGTATGTATAATAAAAAATCCAACACAGGAAATAGTATGAAATAAAAATAATCAATTAAAATAATAAAGGACAGGGAAAACAAATAGAAATAAATGCAAAATGGAAAACCTTAAAACAATCATCTCAATAATTATACTAAATATCAATGATCTAAATATCTGAATTAAAATGCAAATATTAACAGGATAAAAATAAATAAACCCAAATCATATGCTATTCACAAGAGATACACTTTAGCATAAGGTGATACACTGAAGGTAAAAGGACTGAAAAAGATATACCAAGGAAATGCTAATTTAAAAAAAAGCATCATTTCTCCTTTTCCTCCTCCAGTCTTTTTATTTTTGCCTTGGATGGAGAGAATAAGGTAGGCACCTATACAGGGTAAGGTAACAATACCCCAGAGTAAGGTAAGAGTCTCATGAGTGAGGAGTGCGCCCAAGAAAGAGTAGCCTAACACAGGATATCATAATCCAATCAGGGCAAGGAGAGAATCTGTGGAGGTGTGGCCATATATAAAATACCAGAGCCTGATCAGGATAAGGAAGGTTTCAATGGAAAGGAAGGTCCAGCTTGACATGTGGATTGATACCAAGCAGAATGAGGAAGGTGTCCCTAGAGTGGGGCAGCCTGACAAAGAGTGGAAGATCTGGACTAGAGTGTAGAAAACATCTTCATAGAGAGGCAGCCTGGACTGGGAAGTCAGATTCTCCTGAGGAGGGTAGCATCCAGGGACTAAAG